TTTGAACTTTAAATAGCTTTTCATTCCTAGCAGGCCTTCTCTAATTTGCTTAATGCATCATCTTCCATTCCAATGAATCACGGGAGTTAACTCTGTCAGGAGTCTGTCAGTGTTGCTTGGGTAGAACTGCACCTGAAGATGGCATTTTTTCTAATTTTTTTTTTTTTATAGTACCAGAAATGAAATCATGGATGTTAGATTTCAGGTGAAGGTTTGACAGGACAGAAGCACACAGAAAGTAAAACTTCTGAATATATACATGTGCTCACTGTAGCCATACAATTTGTTTTACAGGTGTTATGGACCTGTTCTTTCAATTATTCCTTGAAGACTTTTTGTAGTAATTTTGTACTGTGACTCCATTTTGCCTTTGGACAGTCACAGATTTCTTGCTGTAACATGTAGGAGCTGCTAAGGTTTACAATCATTTAGGTTCTTTATGTTCAAGAAATAAGCTGGTTTGAAGCCATCTTTTGGCTACTATAAATACAGATAACACAGTTATGCAGTATGTTTCTCTCTAAATGAGTCCTTTCACCCTATACTTTGGAATAAATCACAACAGTTTATTTACCCAACACGTCTGCCCAATCACAACCACTGTGAATCTACTTCATTATATTCACAGGGTCTGTATTTCTGCTAATAATTTAATAATTTGGTCTAGTTTTCCATGTCATTTTGTAATATCTCAAACCATCCCAGTTGTTCGGTTTTGGTTTTTGAACTGAAGCCTAACTTCCGGTTTTCTTCTGCAGACTGTTGTTTTTTGAGCCATTACAAACGTGTCTAATGTTTATTTGAAGGATTCTGCTTTTTCTTTCCCATCAGACTGTGTCTCAGATGATGCTGTACCTCCACCAGAATCTCTCCCACTGCACCCATTGGCTCAGTCTGTGTATGCACTGCGAGACAAAAATTCAAAACTGAGTGCCATTTGAAGCATGTCTGTGCTCTTCTTTCACCTTCACAGTTCAGTGCAAACTCGGGCATTGCCTGTGGGGTTTCAGTATGTCTTTAAAACCAGGAACTTCCCATGCATATACGGACAGATGTGAAATTGAGGTAGATTTCAAATAGCATCAAACTAAAACCAGCATTATGCTTCTGATTTATGAGCTCATCTCCAACACTGCTTGGAAAGCAACAAATAAAAGGAAAAGCAACAACAACCAAAAGGAAACAGATCATAAAAGCATGCAACAAGTTCACTAGCTTCTACTTGTAATATTACTCGCAAACTGAGCTTCAGAATTTCATAGGCTGTATTTATGTAAGGGTGAAAAGTATGGTTTCAGAACATAGCTTTGATTTTGCATGCACACAGTGCTGGAGCTATTGGCACAGGCAATCTCATTGGTAGTGTGACTAAAACTCATGCTGATGTTTTGCATTCATACATGTATATGTATTTCTTCTTATTTTCTTGTGCGAGGTCTGCTGCTTACAGAGGTCAACATACCCCTAGTTTTCAAGGCTGTTCTGTTTTGCTTCTTTTGTTATTATATTACAGCTTTATAGTTGTGTGTGTAGGCTTTGTTTTCTACTTCTTCTTTTCTTCTTCCCAGTAAAAGCAATTCAGGAGGAGAAAAAAGCATTTCTGTCATGCTATAACCTGTGGGAAGAAATGCATGACCTGTCTTGCCCAGCACCTAGCTTCTGTGGTAAAAGCAGACTTAGTTATTAACTGCAGAGTGCCTGACAATTTCTTCCAGTAGAATAACATTATACCCTGTAAAGAGACCCCTACTTTCCTCTCTGGGAAACAGCTGCAAAGCATCACCTTTAGCATAGCTGTACTGACACTTGATAACCTGCTCCATAAAGAGGTCCCTTAATTCTCAAAAATCTTGTCAGCCATCTTCTAGAATTTGGAGATCATAAATTAAGACTGGGGAAAAAAAAGAAAAAAAAAGAACTACAGAAATTTACACTAGGGAAAGAACATCTTGATCCTAATCTATATCCTTCATGATGCTGGAGATCCATGAGGTTTGTCTTTACCCATCAGCGTCCTTGGCCACATAGGAGATGCTCACAAAATGGCACTTACTTGGTCCTTAAGATGTATTTGTCTCACTGCTCATCAACACTCCTTCGGGGAAAAAAACCCTCTCCCATTGCTGAAAAGCTCTGCAATCAAATTTATGTACTTTATCACAGCAACGACAGAGAAAATGCACTTCCTGCCTCTCTTCTACCTCAGGATGCTGATTATTGGCTAACCGCCCTCACCATCAATTTGGAGTCCTAATTTTATAAGGTTCTGTCAGCTCTTTGTTCTACTGGGAAGTACTGTGATTTCCTTTCTCTTCTTCTACTGTCACATCCAATTGCTCATAAGGTACTTAAGAAAATGCAAGGGGTGGCAATAATTACTGCTACCTGATTGAAAATGTAAAAATATACAACAAAAATCAAATAGATGGATTAATTCTGCTTCTTTATTTTTCTCGTATACCTTGATTGCCAGAAACTGATTTGCTTTTTTAGTAGGAAGAAAAAATCAAACTCCTGTTTAGCTTCAGCTTTAATGCAAGCCATGCTCCTATACAGATGTAGAGTAAAAACCTCTGTCTAAGCTTTCATCCTAAAAGCACAGTTGTAAAGCTTCTGGCACGCCTGATACTCATTTTTTTACATGGAAATCTGTCCAGCTGAATAGGCATGAAAATCACAGTTTCATATTGTCTCTGTATTTCTTGGTTGTATTTAATTGCTGCCAGGATCCAAGTAACAGAAAATCCCGTTATTAAATTATCTAACTGTGATATAGGTCTTCCTTATCTTATATTAATCAGCCACCTTTTCTGAAATTTCCAATTTATTACTGGCAGTAGGTGAAAAGTCAATGGCTTTACCACAGAAAAGGTTACGTTACATCTAAATTCAACTCCATAATATACTGTACCTGAGAAATCAGATTTAATTTCATTATTAGAATTGGCTTTTGGGAACTGTATAATTTTAGCTGACTGTTCTTGACCGGTTGGGTATCCAGAATTTTGGGAAATCTGATACACATTTCTATGGCTCCAGAAACTGTTGATCTGTTTTTCTAATATCAACTTTTCTTATTAGCTTGAACTCAGCTGAACATAATTTGCCCCCCAGGAAAGTTCTTTGATTGCACTGATAATGATGTCTGCTAGATTCCCCTGCAACCATAATAGCTTAGCCTATATATTCTACATGATGGAGTTTAAAGCTTGTCCTGTAACAGCTCACAGGATCTCCTACTGTTCCATTTATGAGTCAGGACTGCCATTGGGATGTTCAGATAGGCTTGGATCCCCGTAATGTGACCAAGGGGCTGTGTCACCTTCTGAAGGCCAGTGTGCCTACTCCAGGGAGAAGGCAAAGATAGTACCAGTTCTTCCTGACTGCACTCTGGGAGCACATGAGGAGCTGGAAGAAAGCTGTTATACCAGTGAGACAGGTGAAAAAGTGAAAGTCATCACCAACAGGAGATAAGATAAACATCTGCTGGCCTTCAAAAGAGAAGCAATAAAGGGGTGTGTTCCATAAGAAGAAACAAATCTGAGCAGTACTGTGGAGGGGAGCTGAACCACAAAATACTCAAAAGCCCCCAGGAGACAAAGGCAGGGAGCTTTGATTACAGGTGTTTTTTATTCTAAGTACCTGTGTAAATCTCTTGATGCATCTAAGTGGCCAGTGACTGGCTTATATTTATACCTCTTTATATTCTACCTTTATATTTTACCTCTCTACTACTAGAGGTAGGTTTTTGTGGAAAATAGTATGCATTCGACTACAGTGTTAAGCCAAAAAGTGGAATAGTGGAGCTGGGAGCAAAATGAACTTTAGCTCCTGGGGATTTGAAGGATTTGACATCAGCCTACAGACTTGCATTTGTCTTAGAGGCCAGTGCTGAGAGGGCGCTGATGGAGAGCTGGGGCTAAGGAAGATTGCAGAGAGCAGATCTCCTGCTGTGGTAGCTGAGGTGTCACGGTGTGCTCTTCAGCCTCATTTATTAAGATTAAGGTCTGTCAGGCAATTCTTTTGTCCCAAGAAACTGGGTGAGGAAGAGATGATGTTTGGACCAAAGAAAACAAATGGTGTTTCTAACAAGAAGAAACTGCAGTAGGTATGTAGGTTTTAGACACTATTCTACGTGACTCCAGCAGAAGAGAGAGGAAGATGGATCTTTCAGGGAGTGCAGCAGATGAGAACTCCTTTGTGTTTGCTTGTGGGGCAGCTTCAAAGACCTTTGGCCATCTTTCCATCTCAGCAAATCCTAACTGGAGCTTTCAGTCTGACTATCCAGAATGACAGCACTGTATGGGCTGGAAGGGACCTCTGGAGATCACCCAGCCCAGCCCCGTGCTAAAGCAGATCACACAGGAAGGCATCCAGGTGGCACTGGAGCATTTCCAGAGAAGCAAACTCCACAGCCTCTTTGGGCAGCCTGTTCCAGTCCCTTGGGATGCCTTACAGAATCACCCAGGTTGGAAAAGACCTCCAAGATCATCCAGTCCAACCATTCACCTATTGCCAATAGTACTCACAAAACCATGTCCCTCAACACAAAACCCAAATGTACCCATTCCCTTTTCCAGGAAACAACCTGAAGGCGATGCCCAGCACGGGCTTCAGATGCTGCAGAGATCCTGCAAGCAGCTGAAATAAGCATGGATGCCTGCAGATCTCCAGGGAAGAGACCCTACAGCCTCTGGGCAGCCTGTGCCAGTGCTCTGTCACCTGCACAGCGCACAAGTACGTAGCACATTCCCACCTTCCACTCGCTCTCCTTCAGCCAGTACATAAGAAGGTGCTGCTTCTCCTCTCCTCCCGGCCAAAATCAACTAAAACCCCTCGGTGGAGGACTACCCCGGGAATCCTTTAGGAAACGCTTTGCAGCGGCCATACAAACAGCCATCTCCACGCGCTGCTCTTTGGGCGTCCGGCCTTTGGGCGCCAGGAGGCAGCGCGGAGCGGGGCCCGCCGCTAATCATTAACCTCTCCCGGCCGCTTCGGGCTGCGTGCATCGCTGCTCCCGCACTGTCCGGCGCCGACGGCAGCTCCTCGCTCTCTCTCCGTTCCCCCGACGCCCTGGGGGCAGCGAGCCGCCATGGAGAGCGAGGCGAACGACACCTTCCTGACGTCCTGCGGCGGGAGCGAGCCGCCCTACGCTCAGGAGCTGCTGAGGAGTAAGTGCGGCGCCGGGAGAGGGAATCCCCGAGCAGTCCGGAGGGAGCGGCGCTGAGAGGGAGTTGCCGTGGCGAAGGCTGCGGGGAAGAGAGGAGGGGAGGAGGGAGAGCAGCCCGCAGCCGCCTGGGCGAGGAGAGAGGGAAGGCGGCTGTGAGCAGGGAGGCTTTGGCCTGACGGGGTCCTCCTACCCCGCACAACTCCCAGTCAGTCTCCGAGGACTCTGTCTGTGTGAGGAAGTGATGCACAGACCTGCCTTTGGACTTGTAAGGGAAGCAAAGAATACTGTGTAGATATGCTGCTGTTGGTAACCTGCTTGGTTAAGCTCCTAGAACAACCTCTGCTACTCTAAGAACCTTGGTCCTAGAATTCCCCTTCTCGAAAGGACTTTTGCATGATGCTTGGAGGCATATTCTTCCTGGATGCTGCCTGTGGATTCTAGGAAAATATGTTCACAAACTTAACTACTTGGATCATCCTCTGGAGTGAGTGGTCCATGGCTGTAGCTAAGAACAAATCAGAGGATCACGTGGCAGCTGGTGTTGGCAGAGCCCTCTAGGTCCATCTGGCCCAACCCCTGTCCCAGCAGGACACCCAGAGCAAAGTGCCAGACCCACATCCAGATGTCTGCAGATCTCCAAGGAGGAGACCCCACAGCCTCTGGGTAGCCTGTGCCAGTGCTCCGTCACCTGCACAGCACAGAAGTACTTCTGGTATTCAGAGGGAACCTCCTGTGCCCCAGTTTGTGCACACTGCTGCTGGTCCTGGCACTGGGCAACACTGGAAGGAGCCCGGCTCCAGCTTCATTGCACTTTTGGCATGTGACTTTTCAGGAACAGGACTAAGATGCCCCTCCAAGATGCTGTTTTTACATTAAATGTTCAAAGTACATGAATGTATGAAATGTGTAAATCAGATTTTTGTTTGTTTTCTTTTCTCTCTCTTTTTTTTTTTTTTTTTTTTCTTCTTTCTGTAGGCCTTGACCTTGCTGGTAGATTTCTCTTGGCAATCTTGACTCTGATGACACTAATTGCCGATCTGGTATTTATGGAAGAAGTGATCTACATCTACAGGAAAACCCCCTCCTCCAAAAGATCCATTTTAATTTGGATAAATGCTGCAGCTCCAGTAAGTGTTGTGGAAAATAATGCTGAAAATAATCTGGAAATCTGCATGGACCTGCTTTACCTCTACCCTCCATACAACCCTCCTCCCTTTCTCTGTAGGTGATTGCTACAACCTCATGCATTGGCATTTGGATTCCTCGCTCAACAATGTTTACAGATTTCACAGCATCAGTGTGAGTATTCTGCTCGTTCCTAGATTTGCCCCAAACCCTGCTTTTCTTCCCTTTAAACATCTGCTACTCTTGGTAAACACAGTCATTTTGTAAATTTAACAATTTAGTCATTTTTGGTTTGAGTTGAAATCTCTTGGCATCTCCTTTATTTTTTTGCTGAAGCACTTCCCAGCACTGCAGCCCCCTAGTGTGGGAATGTCAGCATGAAGAACAGTGACTTACATGTAATTGATTGTCTTGATTGATGGTAGTTTTGAAGTAATACCCTTTCCTTTCTCTCTCTCAGTGTCATGTAGGATGAGATTCTGACCTGTGACTTCTTCTCTGTGCTTTCATTAATGATGAGCTGCATAGATCTATTATTAACAGTGGCAAATGAACCTCCAGTGAGCGCATCAATGTAAAAATCCTCCACAGCTGTCCTGATAAAAGCCCTTTCTGTACATGTGACAGCTCTGACATACAGAGCAGGATGAAGCACGGTCCCCGCTTTCCGAATGCAATGGGGCAGATCCCATAGGCAGAGCCAGGTGTGGGGAGCCTTGGGTGCTCCAGAAGGGCTGGGGTAGTTTTGGAACTGCAGGACCACATCACAGAACCTCCTGCATGGCCCCAGCCCATGTCACACTGCATGTGCAAAGGGAACAGAGTAAAGAAGGATGGAAAACAAACTGGTGGGGCTTTTGCTGCAGGTAGTGCAGGACTTCTGAGGACCCATCCTATGGCACTTTTAGCCCATCTCAATCTCTCTCCTGTCTTGTCCAAGCTGCAAGTTCCTGTTCCCTTTCCTACCACTCCCTCTTCTCCAGCTGCTCCACAAGCTCCTTTAAGGAGTTACCACAGCTGAACAGGACCTCCTTTATTTGGTGGGACTAGATTTTGGTGAATAAGTTCCCTAATACAGTATGGGACCAGGAGGAAAAGGTGGCTGCACTATCTGTTGTTTGTGGGAGGGCTGAGAACATGCTGCTGCTGACAGGAGAGGTGGGGCTGCAGTAGTCACTGTTTGGATCAGATTTGTGTGCAGAGGGACTGCACCCTAACTGGAGCAGCACATAGGATGTTAGGTAAACACATAAATAAACCTAGCCACCTGGGTTTTGCTCTTCTTATTTTTAAGAGGAGGAATAGGACTTGCTTTGAAAAGTCACGCCTAGGTAAGTGGTAGAAAAATACATCTGTAACAACTTGGGCTGGAAGAGCCACCAGCACACTTAGGGAAAGACCTGCAGACTTTTCAAAGCTAGCTCTGGGCTTTCTGCTTACTGTGAGGCACAAACTTTAAAAGATGTGGACTGAAGGTTTAAGAAACCTGCACAGGTCTGTCAGAGAAGTGTGAGAGATGGACAGAAAAGCTTAAGCTGGCTCTTTCTTCCCCTCCTAGATTTTTTGCCATAGTCATCCACAAGTTCCTGATGATGATGATAAAAGAGTGTGGGGGCCAAAAGCTGTTCCTGAAACGGTTTGAAAATGGTCACTTCAAGATCAGCACGGGGCCCTGCTGTTGCTGCTGCCTGTGCCTGCCCGGTGTGCGCATCACTAGGTGAGTTGCCCTTTAAGATTTCCCAGCTGGAAATCTGCTGCTGGAATCCAGCCAATTTGGCAAGCCTCACTTACAGCAAAGGGCCTCCCTCCTTCCAGAAAGCCAGTTTCAAGCTGTCTCTTAAACAGTGCCATCCCACAGGGCTGTACAACACCGCTTAGTTCTCATTTTTATAACGAGGAATTGTGTGTAAGAGCCAGAGCATGAGGTAACTCACTTTAACCCAACGCCGTGTTTCCGACACGTAGTAACGTTTAGCACTGTGGTGTCTCCTCAGCTAATCCCGTTGGTCTTCAGGAAGCCTTTTCTATAGTAAGCAGAAAAAGAATTTTCACTCTAGAAAATCTAATAATTGAGATTTCGGTTGAGAAGCGGGGTAAGGATGGAGAGCTGCGCCTCCTCAAGGGGCGGTGCGGTGTAACACAAACCCTGCCCTTTTGCAGTGCTGTCTGCTAGAGCTCCACCTCTGGTCAGAGTCACCCCACCATTCATATGCTGCTCCCAGACTGAAAGCCTCATACGTTCCAGGGTTTTCCTCCTGGCACACAGTACATTCCTCAGAGCACAATTCCTTTCCATTGAAAGGAAAAGCTCAAGGTATGCTTTTGGGGGAGGAAAAAAAAAAAGAAAAGAAAAAAACCTACATTTTTATTGTAATCATTTTTCTTTCAGCTACCGCATTTAGTATTATGATGTTAATTCTTATTTCCATTAATTTATTTTAATGGAATATTGGTATTTACTTACATAGAGGGAGCACCAAGAAAAAAGCAACAACAAAGGAATGTAATGTAATTATGTAAAATCAGCAGGTACTGATGTGGATCTAAATCACTTCTAGTGATTTTGATGGGCATTGATTCAGGCTTGTGTCAATAGTGAATGCTGAAGAAATCTATGGGACAGCAACATGCTACCGATCTGTAATGTCACCAGTGCATGCATTTTTCTTTCCGTGTCTGTCACCCTCTGTATTTTCTTGTGGTAGCTGAAGGATGGAGAGAGGCTCCTCTACTCTGCCTTCCTGATGGTCAGTCCTGTGACAGGTTAACCATGAATATTGAGAGGGCTGAAGATGTTAGCCTCAGCACAAGGGGGCTTTTTACTCTGCTGAGGGCTTTAGGCTCCTCTTCTGGAATCTGTAGTACAGGGAAACTCTTGTGCTGTCTCTGCTTCTGAGTTCTAGCCCTTTCCCATTAGAAGGTATGGGTCGTTTTTTGTTGTTGTTTTTGTTTTAAATGAGCAAGCCGTGACAGAGAAAGACCAGTTTTATATTGCTTCCATAGACAGGCAAAGTAATGGGCTGTCCCAGTAGATAGAGATGTGTCAGATGAGGGTTTTTTTTAAAAAAAAAAAAAAAAACAAAGAAAAAGGAGACCTGCATTTGCAAGGCAAACAAGTCCTGGCATTGCAGGGACTGCAGTATTTGTCATATTGTCCTTCGAAGCCAATGGGAGTAAGGCGGGGTCTGTGGCCAGAATTGGAGCGCTGTAGTACTTTGCTGTCCAGCTGAAGGTTGCTCTTCCCAATCTCTTCAGAGAACTGAAATAGCAAGGCAAAAAAGCAGCAGCAAGTGGCATTGTTCAGAATGGTTGTGCTTCTGCCAGCTCTGCCGTTTGCTCTGGGGCAGGAAGGAACATCCCATTTTGTCCCTGGAGGTGTGCAGGAAACGTGTAAATGTGGTACTGAGGGATATGGTTTAGTTCCATGCGCACCATGTTGTCCACAACAGTGGTGATAGATGGATGGTTGGACTAGATCATCTTGGAGGATCTTTTCCAACCTACGTGATTGTATGATTCTGTGATTTTTTTGCTCAGCATTGGTTAATCTTCATTGTTGCCAAACAAGAAAATTACTGCTTTTGGAGACACCTTAATAGACCTGTCTTTAAATAGGCATTTGGGTGATTCTTGAAAAGTTTGAATCTTGAAGTTGTTCCTCCCTAGACCTTAGCGGTGTCCAGTAGGAGTGCAAAAGTTTTGCTGTTTGACAACATCAGAAAAATGCTATAAAGATTGCTAATAAGATTTTTCCCTCTCTGACATATATAAATATTTTTTTTCGTCAGGCGATCCCTCTTTTGGCTGAAGGTGGGCACCTTCCAGTTTGCTTTATTTCGACCTGTTTTCATGTTTCTGTCAACAGTGCTTTGGACCAATGACAATTACAGCCTTTCCAATGTAAGTGAATATTTTAATCAGAGATGGTCTACAGAACCCATAGCTTTTGGTTTGATTTTAGTATCTTAGCCTACAACTAAACTCTAGAACCCGAGAGCATTTCTGACTGAAGTATCTCACTTCAGAATGTGTTTCCTTGCCTCTCTTGGAATGAGACTGGGTGTTGGGGAGGGTTAGGCTCTGTACAGCTGGAGTAGTAGGACTACACATTGCCCTTTGGGGTATACTCACCCTGTGTGTTGTAAGGTACAGCTCTAGGAAACAAGTGTGTGCACAGATGTGTAATTAGAAAACCTAATTCTATGCTTTTCTGCAAATGATGGCAGGTAGTACAAAGCAGAGGAATGGTACTGTGTAAGCTGCAAAATGATGGAAAATTGTATCTGCTAATAATTGTGCACCTCCTAGATAATTCAAAATAAACGTAGTATTTTTGTGGTTGTTTAATGGTGGATAAATAGATGATGCCTCAGATGGCACGGTGAGTACACTCATGAGCCAGCTGAGAGCTCTCAGTAGGGTGCTGCTGAGGTCAGATAGAGGGGCTGTGTCATTCTTTACTGCAGCTGGTAGCACTCTGATGGTACCACACAGTTTTTCTCAGCTTTTATGGAGACAGAAAGAGGCATTTTAATGTCTGCATCATTCAGTCTGCAGCTCTGCCTGGAAATAGCAACATTTGTGCTATAAAGCTTTACAGGTATACTGATTTGCTTTTCAGTTATCTCCCAAAGGAGCTGCAATATGGATTAACTGCTTCGTTGCTATCCTTACCATTATTGCTCTGTGGCCAGTTGCAATCATGTTTCAGCAAGTTAGAGTTCTCCTTAACCGTAAGAAGATCATCCCAAAGTTTGCTCTTTATCAGGTGAGAAATTCAGTATTTCCAATAAGAATTGATCTTACTGTTGATATAGCACCACCTATCCAGGTTTTTAATCCTTTGCTTAAGGATTATAGTATTTTTTTTCCATTAAATGCGCTGTGCAATGGCATATTTTTACCTGATTAAGGCTGTGTCCATTTGAAGCACTTTCCTTGGCTGCTGTTCAGTGTCAGTTTGAGCCAATTTTACCTCTGGTCGTTCAAGCATGCTGGAGATGTGAGCTGTATAAAATCCATTCATCCTAGGGCAGCTGAAATCAAAACAGCACCTTCCACAAGGCTCAAAGGAAGCTTTTTAGGTGCCACATCCTGAAATACAATGTTAAAAAGCTGGTGTGTACTTTTAAAAAGCAGGAGAGGATATGGAACATTGTGTGAGTGGGTTTCAGCAAGTCATTTTGTTTTGATAGTATTTTTCTTGGCCATTGTGCATTTGAGACTTAGATAATAAGGAAAGTTATCTAAAATATTACTGGCTGGAACTCACTAAGGAACAGATCCAGATAGGTTATGGGCAGGAACAGGTCCACCCTCTCCCACATCGTCCAGAAGAGAGTACAGTAGAATTCTTGGCTGTACAGCTTTCTAGTACAGGACATGTGGAAGACTAGTGTGCTAAGGGCTCTGTTAAGAAGATCTAAAACCCTGATAAATGCAGCAAGCAGGACAGTTGCACATGCAAAGCTACACAGACATGAATCTAGGTTTAAGATGGCAAACCCTGCGATGTGAATGTTTACACTGAGAGAATTACACCAGCGTCTAGAGACACTTTGTTGTATCTGGTGAAGGCCTAGCTTACTGAATAATAGGTAAAATAAAGCGTGATGGTTGCTGAACCCAAAGTGGAGAGACCTTTATCCCTTTTGGCAAAAAAGACACATATATAACATGTACATATAACTGGGGGAACACTGCATCTCCCTGCTGTGGCAAAAAGATGAGACAACAGAAATATCGTTCTTCCCACTAAGTAAGAGCATAAGCTCTTAGATTAACAGGAAGCTTTTAAGACATTTTACTTATTACTCAGAGCCTGATATTGTTTAATATCCCAACTGGGAGCTCTCTCTATGTTGCACCTCCCACACGAAGAGCTGGGAAAACACTTCTAAAACAGAGGTTTTATTTAATACTTGCATTTCGAGCAATAGCATCCTGACCCAAAGATGAATTGTGCAGGATGGCAGGCAGCCTGGTGGGAGATGGAAGAAAGGGAGAGCAAGAAAGGAGGAATGAGATAAAAGAATGAGCTAAAAGAGACTCTATTATGAAAGCAAAATAGTTGTGTGAAATATAATCCTTTTTTTTTTTTTTTTTTCTGGTAACTAAGGCATCTATTTTCTCTTTCTGGTGTAGTTTATCCTCATTCTGATCCAGTTGCAGACAGCTACTATCAGCATTTTGGCTATGCAAAGAATTGTCCCTTGTGTTCCACCACTCTCTTCTTCAGCAAGAGGAGCATGTAAGTTCTTTTGGAAAGAATGTTCTTTGTTTTCTTACAGAGGCATCAGTTCAGTTTTCCTAACTGCAATATTTAGTGTTTTCCCCAAGTATGAATTTCATGGGATTTCATGTAGCTTCTGGAGAATCTCAGCTTTTATTTAAAAAAATAATGCATGCATGATTACTGTTAAATCTGTTGGATTTTGGATGTGTAATGTATTGCATGCTTATTGAGGAGCAGTACTGTAACTTTGTAAATATTTTGATGCCGAGAATGAGAGGCACTCTGTTATGGGAACAGAATGGTAACTTTTGTTCCTTTTGCACAAACAATGATTAATAAAATGGTCTTTTTCCTCTCTCTTTTTTTTTCCCTCTTTTTTTTTTTTTTTTTCCCTTTTTTCCCTCTTTTTTCCCCCAGATATAAGCCACCAGGTCCTCATCATGGAAATGTTTCTAATAACTTTAATGTCAAGAGTGGTCTATCGGAGAAGATACAAGGAGCTTGACCCTCCAGAATGTATCAGTGAAGAAGCTGGGGTCAAGAAGCAGGCTCCTACCATGAATGTTGCAGTTAACGAAGATGGATTGTCAGGGTTTTAGAGGCTTCCAATGCTCCTGTTCTGCAGCAGCTGGGAGCTCAGCTTCAGGAGCCTCTTTCACTGTGTATAGCCACAGTGCATGTCAGAACAACTTCTGACAGAAATGCCTGTGAGCTGTGCTGAAAGGGCCAACGAGTGGAAAGATAAGCCTATTTATTTTCCAGTGATATGTACATGGTGTGTTTTCAAACCATGTACTTTTATCTTGTTCTTCAGCACTTGATGGTAATCAAACCATCTCATAATGTGATTTTTTTTTCTTTTTTTTTAAATTAGCTATTAGAATCTCTGCAATTTAATGTAAAGCTGTTCCTGTTTCATCTCTTGATTTCATTTAGCTCTGTTTCAGGTAGCCTGGATTGTTCTCATATGTCTAAAACAGCATATTCCCATCCTTTCTGCATTAAAATCTATCAGCTCTCAGTGTTACAAGGTCACCATAGCAAGTCTGATCAGTAAATGTTTGTTTTGAAGTCCTCAGACTGGTATGAGCTCTCCACCTAAATGATGATCTCTTTAGGACAACACTTTTTATATTCCCTGGCATTTCACCCCCTAACCTGGTAAAAACACCGTTGCCATTTGTAAATATGTCATTGGCTGATGCTCTGTTGCTAGAGAAGGGAGATTCTCTGTTGCTGGTCTGGAAAAGTAGAAGTCGGCCTGAGAAGTGTTCTGTCACTGCTCTGTGGTGTTATGTACTACTTTGGTTTTCTGATGTGGAAAATGGGAATTATGATACTCGATATCGTTGCATTCAAGATGTCTATGGGAATGAGAACTGTTGAAAGGAATCTCTTTCAAAAACCCACCTCCCCAGCTTCTCCACCTCCAAATCTGTCCTGCTCAGTGTTTGTACCCATTTTGCTGAAAACAGTTTTGGTTGCTTGGTTGGTTTGTTTCAAAAGATCCCATTGTTCTTCAGTGAGCCTAATTATTTTGATTCAGCTCACTATAATTTGTAATATGACAGCAAGCTGTTGGATATGCTGTGTATTGGGAAAGGAGGTGCAGAACTATTACGCTAGTGCTCATCTCCTCATCTTGTCTGATCCCTACAGTAAATACTTCATCCATATAGCAGGAATGTTTATTCCATAAGGAGATGGGGAAAACGCTTTGTGTTGGAAAAGGTGTTAATAACATCCTTTACCAATATGGTATCAAATACAACTTTACTGGGGCTTTATTTCTCATTTACAGGGAGCTCCAAAAATACTTTTAATTTGAGAATTGGCTGTGGAAAATGAAATATTCCAAAAGCTTTAGCTTGTGAGTAAGCTGTGAGAAGAAAAAGAAGTTGAATTAAACAGAACATTTTCTTTCTGACTGAGGTTAAAAATAGTATTTTCTTTAACAAGGGAAGAATTTCATGATGCTAGAAATAACTGAATTATTTTTTGTTTGAAGCGGTTGAAACAATTTTTATATGAATTTTTTCTAAGCAGGCAATCCATGAAATTAACACAGATTCTTGAACTGCATTAATGTGAGAGAATCTACATATTTTTCTTTCCTTGAAAAATAATTTAGGTGAAAATTTTCACTCTACTCTGGAGTGTGTCAGCAGAATTAACAAATCAGCTGATATCTTTAATGTGAGAAATCTTCTTAATGTAATTTAACGTTATGGCTATTAGCATATTCCTAATGTTGCTTTATATCAGTCTCAGTCACAGATACATTTGTAATGTTTCTCTTATCAACCTGTGGAACAGTACTTCATAACAATATTGGGAATGGTTGGCTGTGAGCTGAAGAAGTTTCAAAATTGGAAAATAAAACATGTTGACTTGGTAAGGTGTTTTGTGAACTGCTGTGGAAAAGACTAATTACTAGATCTACTGAGCACTACTGGAAAATGTTTTCTATAGCAGTTCTGTAAAGGTGATGTCTTGGTGAGTGCGATCTGTTGCAAGGAAGAACACGTCCATGTGCTGAAGCTTGATTGCTTTTGAAAACAGATGGAGCATATGGAGAAATGGTGGTCTCTGTCTGTCCTGTGAAGGCACCTGAAGGCACAGCAAGAGCCTTCACCCGTTCTTCTTTTGGGCATTTATTCAATGAACAAAGATCTTTTATCACTTTTGGTCTGGTCTTTGTCATGTCTCTGAAATGTCTGCAAAATGTATCTTGTAAACATCAGCGTAGGCCTGATTTATCTATAGGTGTCACTAGCTGTTTTGCTTTTGGGCTGATATTTAAAACCTACTGTTGTATTCACCTGACATTCTTCAGCAAGAAAATGCACTGTCAGGTGGCGATTGTCAAGTGGACTTTACATTTGACAGCAGACACTTCCCTTAGTAAGTGTAGTAGTCTCATTCCAGAAGTCACTTGCTTACACAGTACCATCTTGAAAGCAAAATTAGATATACTTAAATATGTGCCTAAGAGCTTTCCTGAGTTACAGCTTACATGAATGCAATAGAATATGTGGTTTTATTGTTACAAATCCTTTCATCTTTTTGAGCTTGTAAATTAAGAATTTCTTCCCCACCTCAGAGTCAGACTAATAGCCCATGCAATGTAGAGGTCCATGTCTGACAGGGCAGGCATCTAAGAACCAGTGTGCAGGGCAGCAGGTGGCCTGCACTGTGGTACATTCATTCAGACGTTCTTGAAATGAGAACACTGCAAGTCACAGCCTCCAGGTTGGACCTCAGGCAGTCTGAGTGAGGAAAAAAAACACAGAGAGCAGGAAATCTGATGAATTTGCCCTAGGAGGTAAGAGAAGGGAATTTTGCATCAGCTTAGGATCAGGCTCTAGGAAATACCTTTTCTCTTTATCTCTGTGTATTCAGAAATCACAATTAAGATCGAAAATAAATCTACAAATATCTGAGTTAAATGATTAGATAAGTTAGATGCTGTTTAGATGCTTCTACCCCAACAATTCTATACAATTCTATATTGTGCTTCAAACAAGAAAGAAAACAATGCTGCAGAAAGTAATCTGAAAAAGAGGAGGAAACTTTGAAGAAGTTAAGAATTTTTTGTTTGTTTGTTTTAAATGGGGAGAAATCAGACGTAAAATCCTGACAATACTTTGGACATTCTTGGTCATTTCTATGAGAGAGAAAAATTGTCTAATGGCAGTTTTCCTTCGCATCTACAAAGGGACCTGACTGCACAGTGCCTGTTGTACAGTCAGGTGTATGAACAAAACTAATGAGAGGATAAAATTACTTTAGTTTAATGTGATTGACTAGCCAAAAAAGTGTCAGTTTTCCCCTATAGACAGTCAGGCACAACTGAAGGCCTGGCCAGCAATAACTCTTGTCCTTTGCCAGGGGCAGGGAGCCCAGGAGCAGGTTCTACCTATATATTGTGTATATGGACCCAGAAGTTGTAAGTTCTATTTTTTTAAGTAATGAAATCTCTCTTGCATGGCACATAGCAAAAGGCATCTAAATCGGCAGACCCAGAGAGGAAGGATTAGAGAATACAGCAGGTCTATACTGCATGGGCTGTATCATTCTTTGAGCACCGTGGCTCCAAGAGCTAGAAGAAGAGCAGAAAACAGCACAGAGACAACAACTGACTTCACATCCATCTTTTATTGCGATTTACTGCAAAAAGTGAGTTTCTGTACTTTCTTGTAGACTTGCAATACACAGCCAGCAAAGGGTATGAGCTAATTGTTCAATTCCGTTCAACAAGTTCCTCATTAGGGGCAAATTACTTGAGTTTGAAATCTGCTAATTTTCCAATCAGGATGAGTGTTTGCACTTGTGATTTGGAAATAATTAACACATGGTATAACATCAAAAGCAATGTAAAGGCTAATGGCAGAAGGACTTATTTCCTTGGTATGAGAATGGTGTGTTTGGTTTCCTCAGAGGCCTATTGCTTCCCCTTTGGTGAAGGTATCTGCTGTGTAACATGTTCTACTAATTAGTTACTTTGACTCTATAGGGAGCTGTTTGTTTGTGTTTTTTTTTTAACGTTAATTTTGAAAAATCAAACCATTATTTTTTCAGGGCCAGGGGTATTTTTTTATTATTCTGAAAGAAGCTATTTCTCTTGCTGTCAAGTCAATACAGACTTTTCCAGAGTTACTAGCTTCTGTTACCAATAAAAGGAGATCAAGCTGTGGCTTTAGTCTGAGTTCTGCGAACTTAAGAACACAGATTTCCTGGAGAACAATGTTCTTTTCCTTAAAAGCATTCCTGGAACGAAGATGCACTGTGGTATTTAGAAAGAAAGGATGTTCACGTTGGGACCATTAACTGTGAGGGCAGATCTGTAGGTGGAAGAAATAAATGTTGTAAAACATACACTGTGTTTCTACCTTAAAATATCATTCCAGATCATCGTCACTAACGCATTATCAGATAATATGAGCGTAACCAGGTATTAGAATCTCAGAGTATCCTGAGTTGGAAGGGACCCACAAGGATCATGGAGTCCAACCCCTGGCTCCACGCAGCACCACCCAAAACCAAACCCATGTCTGAGAGCGCTGTCCAGACGCTCCTTGAACTCCAGCACTTGGGGCTGTGTCCACAGCCCTGGGCAGCCTGTTCCATGCCCACCACCCTCTGGTGCAGACCCTTTCCCTAAGCCCCAGCTGTCCTCCCCTGACACAGCTCCATGTCATCCTTGGGTTCTATTTTTGGTCATTAGAGAGATATTGCTTACGGCAAATGTTCCTGCCCCTATAGCTCAGTGCATGGCACTAACAAAACTCTCCACATTTCTCCACAGTGCCTACAAGGAAGAGGAGTGTTTTGCTCCCCATGGCCAGGCCAGACCCGCTCAGCCTCACTGGATGGCCTTGCTGGCGCAAATATAGTGCAGCCTGGTGACAATCAGGGTGTGACCTGGCCACTGCAAACAGGGAAAGGAGCCCACACCCCATGAGCAGGCAGTGTGCTGCAGGGCACCGGCGTTATCCAGACTAACCTGCAAGTACGCTGGTTCTGGGCACAGTTGCAGTGACCAGAGTACAGCAAGTAAGCTCTGCCTGCTCACTGCTAGTGTGCAGTGCTTCTTGTTGTCTTCCTACCCCTAAAACCTCTCACAGAAAAGAAACTTTTCTGTAGGGTAGGTTGTCTTTAAGTGTCATCTGATCTGCCAAGGCTTTATGGTACCTGCCAGAGGCACTCAAGCAGAAGGCCTGCCTGCAAAGCCTGAGGAGGAAAGGGGCTTCTCTTTCTGGCTTGTCTTCTCTCATGCTCACAGACATTGATATGGTTGTGCTTGAGGTGTACATGACTCATCAAAGGGAATTCTGTCCTTGGATCAATCCTTGACTTAGGTAATCTGTTTTGAACACTTCCACTATGTTAATTGTTTGG